TGTGCTAACCAAAAGATTATCCATTTCCATGGGTTCAAGTTTGCAAAGGTCGGTCACACTCTTCCCATGAATATTTCTATAATCTGAACCAGATGGACAATTCTCTGAGTCAGAGATAACTCAATAGCAGTGAGTCTGAGTTTCAACTTTTTAGCACATCCAGAAAGCCGAAATCCAATCAGGAAAAAAAAAAATCACAGCCATTGGCATCCATCAGGGCTTCTGTTAGACTCTAAAATTCTTGGATTTGCTCAGTGGTGATGGGTTTGATTTGTTCTTTGATGGACAATCACGTCTTACACATTTAAATGAAAGTATATTTTATGTGTGACCAAAGGACAAGGGACAACTTTGGCCAAGATGGCCAAAATGAATCTTAGTAAGGAATCAAGCTTTCAAGAATAATTTTCCCCATGGAGAGATGGATGAGAGTTGATGAAGGCTTATGCTCATTGGAGGAAGTCCAAGACAAGCGTCCTAAAATCTTCTGATGGAGATAAAGTTAAAAAAGAAAAAAAAAAAGAGTAAAAAAAAAAACCAACCAAGAAAATAATACAACTGAGTAAAAGGAAAATTATATCTATCAAAGCCAACTCATATAAGGTATTTTAGGCTCTTTTGTCACTGTGGGGGGGGAGGATTAACTCTATGATAGAAAATTAATAATATGTAATAGAATAGAAAATTGAGTCAGCTACCTAAGAAGTAAGGTTAGTAGTAAACTTCAGGTAAAAGGAGGGAACCTGCTTAAAATGTAAGAGACCAGAGTGAAATGGTGAATGCATAAATGGCGAATGCATAAGTAAATTTCTGTGTTTGTTTGATAATTGGAAGTGGAAGGAAACTTTGCCTGCTAATTTAACTCTTCTTAGTAAAGTGAAAAAGAAGATAGTCTTCTGAGAAATGTTGAAAAGGTGTTAGAGTCAGCACTTTGAGGGCTTGCAGAAAAGTTTTCAATAGTTCTTTTAGAGAGTCCCTTCTCTGAGGCCTTTGCTTCTTTGTTATAGTGCGTTTGCAGCTCAAGAGCTGATAGATATTCAAGGATCCAGATTCAGGCAGTTTATAATAGAAAGGGATGCCAGGAAGCACTGTAAGCAAATGGATAAGAGACCTAGGAATGGGAACATTTCCAACAAATAAAGGCTGAGACATAAGCACATGATTTCTGTGGTAGCTAGGTCTCAAATAGGCTGGATACTCACTGAGACATTGTGTTTGAGACACATATTTCAGGACTATACCACTTAGGGGCAGTAGGACTTTGTTTGTAATCCACATTATGCATTAGCAATTAAACTTGATTTGTAATCCACCTTATGCATTAACAACTGGAAACCAGACACTTAAATGTGGTGAGTCAAATATAATGTAGGAAAGAAAGCAACTACCATGGATGGCTCTGGTGACCTAGTGGCAAGAAGCTGCGCTGCAATCCCAAAGGTATGAGGTTCGAGGTCATCAGCTGCTCCTTGGGAGGAGAATGGCCAGTGTCTTCCCGTGTGATTAACTGCCTCAGAAGACCAGCCAGAGGGTCAGCTATGGGTCTGTTCTGACTCTATGATACACAACAACAACAACTGTGGATGGTGTCATAAAAATCCCTGAATCTTTACCATGCACACAAGAAGGAAACAGGTTTTTTAAGTCTTGACTGATAATGCCCTCTAATGGTGAAAGTCTCTGAATTTCTCATTGTACAACCTCGGTAACTGGCTTCCTTATCTGGTGCTGCCCTAACAGAGTTAATACAGTGAACGATTCTAGATTCTAACAATACAGAAAATCCTTCTCTTACAGATTAGGAGGCTAGAAATGCAAAGTGTAGCATGCAACTCGAGGAGAATGCTTTCGCCCCCTCTGCTTCTGGAGTCAGGTCTTTTTCTGCTTCAGCTTCTGTAGGCCATATGTTCCTTGCAGTTCTCTATGTGCCTTGGCCTTTTCTGGTGTCAAAAAGCTTTGTAGAACAGGAGCCTGGGTCCAAACAGATTCCTTCCACTCCCAGTGATTCTTTCTTAGGTGGTGCTGAGATCTCCACGCTACACTTCCATTCTTCCTCTTTTATCTCTTGTGAAATATTTAGTGTTACAAGCCACATGGTAAGGAAACCCCTCTTAGATGGAGTCAGTGCTGTCATGGGATTAAAGGTTGTTGCATTCCATCTTTTACTATATTTACCCTTGTTTTGCTTATCAGATCATGCGGAATCAATGCATAGCTTCAATATGATGTGATTCCCTATATGCAATTTATTTGGAGGCCCAACTCAATCATCGGTGTCAGTAGCAAATAACTCAGTAAATATTTATTATCATGACACAGGCTTCGCTTGAAGTAAAAGTAATAATGGTTAACAAGATGAATGTGTTTCCTGCCTCTGTATACTAACAGTTTGAGGTCAATTAACTTCTCTAAACTTTGATCTTATATGGGGAAGGAGAATTGGTAATACCTAGACACATAATTTTACAGAAATAATAGGAGAGAATGAGGTATCTTTGCAAGTGCTTAGAATTCTTTGAAGCTTTGTATCCATTTAATAAGTGTGTAGGCTTTTGAGTCTTCGAATTCTGGTTTAAAAAATCAATTCATATTTTATGATAGTGGAGAATTTTCTTAATGAGAGCACATATGAAAAATTACTAGAGATTCTAGCTCACTCCATCTTTTATACGATTTGAAAGTCTAACATGGATGCCAGAATATGTATTTCAATCTGAGACTACATCAGTAAATGTATTTCAAATTAAGACTAATTTTCTATGCTCTGGTTACACATGGCATTATTAATACATTCTCTTCTGCTACCAAATTATGAGGAAAGATACTGCCAAGACCTGGAGTATAAAAAGGAGGTGCTGAACTTAAAAAAAAAACAACAACCAAAACCCACAACCAAAACAAAACAGGCCGTGGGATAAACTGGAAGTCATTAAGTGTGACCTGATTTCAACTGTTTGAAGGCTGAGAAAAAGAGATGGTTGATTGGTAAATTTCTGCCTTTCCATGCGAGAGGCTCAAGTTTGATGCGAGAGGCTCAAGTTTGATGCCCGGCCAAGGTACTTCCTGTGTGACAACTTATCTTTTGACAGTGAAGGCCTATAATAGTATAGGCTTGAGCTGACGAAGATGAATGTTCTCTATTGATCACAATAGCCCAATAGGCAGCAGATCATGGGGATTGTGTGAGACTGAAGGCACTTTCCTTACACTGTGTGTGGGATCTCCCAGAATCAGGTGAACTATGATATACAAAGTGCATTATGCATTTCTCATAACCTGCATTTTTGTCTTGCTTTAGACCTTTTCTATGGAAATTGAGTATTTCATCTTTCTGAAGGCTATCATTGTGTCTGTTTTGTTTAATAATTGTGATCTCTACATGTCCTCTTCATAAATCTTTTACAGATGGTGATAGAATCTTGGGATATTTTCTTTGGAAAAAAATGAACACATATTCACGATTGTCACTAAAATTTCTTCCCCACCCTTGCAGCCCCTGGATCACTCCTCTAAAACCTCTATTTTAACAAGAGTTGCTTGAACAGAGTGACGACTTATCCCCTGTAGCTCCAGAGAGCTCAGCCAAAAAAGAATGGGAATGAGATGAGAATTGAGCATATAGGTTTGACTGCAACATAACTCACTCCCAAACCAATGTGGATAAGACCTTTGGAATAGTTTCATTGGGTCCTTTGGCTTTTCTTATCGTTGTTATATGCCATCGAGTTACCTGTAACTCACAGCAACCCTATCCTGGGCCATTCTCACTATCTCCAACACACCTACACTCATTACCTCTGTTATTGGGTCAATCTAACACATCCAGGGTCTTCTTCTCCTGCGCTATCTCTTCACCCTTCCAAACACGATGTCCTTCTCCATGGACTGGTAATATTATTAATTGGATCACTCATTTGATTGTATTCCACACTTGCCATGACCCAGCAAGCTAAAGAAGTCTTCACTGACTGGCATCATGTTTCAAGCTCTTCCATGGGACCTCCCTTACCGACTAGCTTGGGTTTCTCTAGCCCACAGTCACCCTAGAGTTGCCATACAACCTTTATGCCAGTTGCCTTCTCAGATTTTATGCTCTTGGAGTCCAAGCTCCTGTGTGCCATCACTTGACAATCACCTGTGGACCCCTTGCTTATATCATACTTGCAGGGGTCCCAATGGCTTTTCAGGCAAGTATGTTGTTGTTATTGTTGAGTACCATCAAGTTGGAAATAATTCCTACCTGAACCAGCAGCAGGTTTTCAGGAGCTATAAATGGCAGAGGAAGAGTTAGCCCATCTTTTCTTTTTTAAAATAAAAATGATTGCCATTTGGATTTCCATTCATTCATTGGTGCACATTATCCTCCCTCCTTCTGCCCCCAGTTTACTTTTTTCTCTTTTAAAAAATTCATTTATAGTTGCACCGTTTCCTTTATACACCCACCCAGCCCCAGTCTATTTTTGTGTGTGTGTGTGCACCTCTTTCTTATTCTGGCTTCTTGTCGTGCAAATAATGCCTAGTCATATATTAAGGATTCGAACCATGTGTTATTTTATGGTTGGCTGTGCAGCTTCTTACCACTAAGCTACCAAGACAGAGCTCCTTCCTGAGAATATTAGACAGTGTGATTATCAGAGATAGGGTTCTGTGGATGCCCCACACACGAATGCTTGGTTTGTTTTAAATACTTTATAAGAAGAAAAATTGTTACTTGGTAAAGCAATACTCATTCACCCTGTGCAAGCATTCGGATAGGGACTGAGAGGAGATAAGATGACCTCCAGGATCATCAGTGTCTAGGAAAATGTTAACAAATTTTGAGTCTCTCTTACTAGGGACAGAGTGGTATTATTAAAAATAATAGGGACCAAAAAAAATAATAGGCACATCAGGCAGGTGTTTGCAATCTGGAGGAGAATGACAAATGTGAATAAATTGCTGCTGCTTCATGTAGAGGAAAGAGCTAATCAAGAAATAATGACCTTTCTTTCCTGTCTTAGGTTGGATGTCGATATGACTGAACTTCACAGTTGGATTACTCGCTCGGAAGCTGTGTTGCAGAGTCCAGAATTTGCAATCTTTCGGAAGGAAGGCAGCTTCTCAGATCTGAAAGACAAAGTCAATGTAGGTTATGCATTTGTTTGTTCCATTTTCTTAGGCTGCACTGCTTAGAAACTCTGTGCTTTGAGCTCCCCTTTAAGCCTAGTGGTTGGAAGGATTAAAACACTACGGCATAATGGCTTTCATAGAGCCTTAGAATGGATTTGATATATCAAGCTGAACCAAAGTTTTGCCTAGAAATATCTTTCCAGGTTCTGCTGAAAGTAAAAGGAATCCTTTTTTATACTTCTTAAAGATTTATATTATTTCTGCAACATATTATTTGGCTGTATATAAATGAACACATGTTCATTTTCCTTCAGGTATTTTCCTTTTAACGTCAAGGCTGAGTCTTAACAAATTTATGAAATTAAGTAGAATGCAGTGAGTAAAATGGACAAAAAAGACTAGAGTATAACAGTATACACTAGACCCTCATAGGGATCATACATAGAGCCTTACTTATCTTTTCCTGGTTATTGTAACATTATTTTTTATAGTTACTGTTACCTCTTGTGAATGACATTTGGATTTTCAGACATTTCTATATAATTTTACCTTTAGGATATCCATCCAGCCTTTCTCAATACTTACTTAAAATAAAATTAGTAAGTGACACAATGTTTTTCCTTTCTTCAGAATGGTTATAGTTTTGACCTTCACAATAAGACTGTGTATTAATTACACAAGAGCTGGTTAATCTTCAGGGACATTATCAAGGCTTTGATTTTTTTTTCAACTTCGACAATTATAAAGCATTCATTTGTGGTGCATAATTGGCAACAATTTGCAAGAGACTTTCTAATGGAGTAAATATTCCGCATTGGGCAGACAAGAGAAACAAATATTCTGAGTGTAAAATACATGTAGCTATAGGAAGAGCACATGTTAATCCTGTTTATTATTAGTTCTGCTTTATCTGTGTAACATTGGTTTTCATGAATTACAAAATCTTTTATACTTCTTTAAATACAGTGATGCCATAGATGGGAGCTAATATTATCTGTGCAGTTGGGTCTTTTAGAGGCATATAGGTAAAAGACTTTCAGGAGGAAAAAATCACCTCTTAATACTGTTTGGGGGAAGGACATAATCTCATGAACCATTCCTCTATTGCTGTTATGTGCCATCGAGTCACCTGTGACTCATAGCGACCCTATATACAATAGCTCTGAACCCTGCCCTGTCTTGATCCAGTCTCACTGTCTCAACACACTACCCAAATTGCCCTAGTTACTGTATCAATCCATCTCATCCAGGGTTTTCCTCTTCTGCTCTGTCTCTCCAACCTTCCCAGCATGATGTCCTTTTCTAAGGACTAAGTCTCTCCTGGTCACATGCCCAGAGTACGTAAGACAGAGCTTCAAAATCCTAGCCTCCAATGAGAAAGTTGGTTTCACTCTCTCCAAGATAGGCTTATTTGTTTGGTTGGCGGTCCATGGTGTGTTTAAGACTCTTCTCCAGCACCACACCTCAAAGGCATTGATTCTTCTTCTATCATCTTTAGTCATTATACAGTTCTCTGATGCAGAGCAAGTAATTGCAAAGAGCGTGGACTAGATCAGGCTCGCCTTAGTCTTTAGAATGACCTGAAGTTACCTATTTTTCGTTGTCAACTGGATGATTACTTTACATGTCTTAGCCAGCTCACAAAATACGCAGTTTTAGCAGTTCGCTGTTTCTGTCAGGTGGCATCAAGTTGCCTGGTTCTCATAGCAATTCTGTGAACAACAGATTATGAGCTTGCACTATCCCACAGCACCTTCACAATCTGATATGATCGAGCCCATTGTTAGAGTCATTGAGTCAGTCCATCTCATTGAGGATCATCTTCTCTTCCCTGATTCTACACCTTCCCCAGCATGATATTTTTTCAGAGGACTGGCCTCTCCTACTATCATTCCTAACGATGAAAGAAGAACCCTGGCTACACTTCCTCAGAGACAGACTTGTTTGTTTGTTTGTTTGTTTGTTTGTTTGTCAATCCATGGGATATTCAGTAATCCTCTCCAGCACCACCACTCAAAGACAGATTCTTCTGTCATCCTTATTCATTGCCTAACTTTCAAATGCCTGGTCAGTCATTTTAATGACAATGGCTTAGATCAGGCTTCTCTTAGTCTTTAAATTGACATCATTTCTCCTTGGGACTTTGGAGAGGCTGTTGGCCACAGATTTTCCCCATGCACCATGTCTTTTCATTTCTGGACTGCTGTTACCCAGGTGTTGATTGTGCTTCAAGTAAAAAGAAATCCTTGGCAACGCTAATCTTTTCTCCATCTCTCATGATGTTGCTTATCGGTTGAGTATTGAGGATTTTTGTTGTCTTGATATTGAAATGTAATCCATATTGAAGGCTGTAGTCTTTGATCTTCTGCATCAAGTGCTTCAAGTCCCCTTTGCTTCCAGAAAGTAAGGTGGTTTCATCTACATAACACAGGATATAGATGAGTCTTCCTCCAATTCTGATGCCACATTCTTCTTCATAGAGTCCAACTCCTTGAAGTGTTTGCTCATTATACAGAGTGAATAGGTATGGAGAAAGAATACAATCCTGATGCACATCTTTCATTATTTTAAACCACACATTTTCCCACCCCTTGGCTATCTGCTTCTTTTAAAAAAAAATGTTCTTTTTATATTGGTTTGCATACCAAATTTGTATACATTGTATTTCCTGATTTTCTTCATTGACATTGTGTTTCATCCAATCATTCCAATACATTGTGTTTCATAAAAGTAATCACCATTGAACTATTCCCACCACCATCTCTTCAGATCCCCACAGATCTTTCCATTTCTTTTATCTCTTCCCTCCACCTGCCAAATTGTGAAACATGTAACTTCCCCATGACGACCCTCACCCCTCTGTTCCCATCCCAACCCTCCTTGGACCCCTATACCCATTTTACTAGTTATCCTTCTATTTTTACAATAATGGGCATATGCAGTATTTGTTCTTATGAGACTGAGTTAGTTCACTCAGCAAGCATAATGCTTTCCAGTCTCTCCCAAATTATGTAGTATTTTTTTAAAGTCATTGCTCCTGATTGAGGCATAATATTCCATTGTGTGAATTTTCCATAATTTCACAATCCATTTGGTTATAGTTGGACATTTGGCCTCTTTCTATGTTCCTGCAATGATGAATAATGCTTCTTGCTCTATGTAGAAGTTCCACATGAACACAATTGTTTTTGGATGGCCATTTTTATCCATGCTACTCATAATTTGTTATGATCCATGTGGTCAAATATCTTTGCATAGTCAATAAAACACAGATAAAAATCCTTCTGGTATTCTCTGCTTTTAGCATAGATCCATCTGATATCAGCAATGACCTCTTGCCATGATCTCTTCTGAATCCAACTTGTATTCCTGTTGGTTCCACCCACTTTTAAATAATCTTCAGGAAGACTTTATATGCATGCAATTTTAATTATATTTTGGTCCATAATTTCCACATTCTGTTATGGTCCTTCTTGGGGGGGAATGGGAACAAATATGTCTCGATTTCAGTCCTTTGGCCAGGTACCTGGCTTCTCTATGTGATGGCAAACTGATAAGCACACCCAAGGTTGCTTCTGTTTCCTGAAAAGTCTCAATTAGTATGCCATCAATTCCTGAAGCCCTGATTTTTTGCCAGTGCCTCCAGTGCCACTTGGACTTTTTATTCACTAGTATTGTTTCCTGATCACATGCTACTTCTTGAAATGGTTCAGTGTGAAGCAAATCTTTTTGCTGTCATGATTCTGTGTTTTCTTTCCACCTTGTTGTGATGCTTTCTGCATTATTCAATTTTTTTTGTCCATAATAGGTGATCCTAAACATTTTCACTAAGTGGAAATTATTATTTTAGTCCTAATTTAGTTTGAAATGGAAGTTAAGAATTTATATATGCGCTTATGTAAATTTTGGATATTATGTATTTAAGATGTATCATCATTTCCAAGCGTGTTTTTTTATTTCTTTTGATTTTGGATGAACATTTGACTAGAAGACAATTACCTCTAGGAGAACCATTCAAAATACGTTTTCACAGATTTTTGTGGCTTCCTCAGGCAGTGCAATATGAATCACCTTGGGCAGGTATTTTCTTGTTGTTGTTGTTGTTATGTGCCGTCGAGTCGCCTGCGACTCATAGCGACCCTATGTACAACAGCCCTAAACTCCGCTCTGTCCTGTGCCAATCGCACTGCCTCTGACACTCCCATCCCGATTACCCCAGTCACTGAATCAATCCACCTCATAGAGGGCCTTCCTCTCCTGCGCCGTCCCTCCACCTATTTGAATCATGTAGTTGTCGGCCATGCTCTTTCTGTATCTTCGCAGCTCTGATTCCAGCAGGAGAGCAGAAATCTAGCATTTTAGGGATATAAATTTGAAAATTTCCTGCTCTCCTATGGTTACCTAGAAGCAATTTGCATTTAATCAATAGTATCAGCCAAGACAGACTGAAAACCGTTAAAAAAATATAGACAGTATTCTAGAAATGGCTTTCTTATGCCTCATGAGTCACCTTTATCAACAGGAACTCTTATTTTCTGAACACACATCTCTCTTAATTGCTTACTAAAAGAGGACATGAAATGAGTTACCTACACATTTCCTTTGGGCTAAACATAATAATGTATATGTATTAAAAATCCTTGAGAGAATGATGATGCATTTGCAAGTTAGGGATGCATTCATTTTCTTACTTCATATAGAGTCTTTGGAACACAGGGAAGGACCTTTTCATTAACTCCTTATTGTTATCTGTCCAGTTTGAACTGACTCATAGCTGACCCTCTGGTAGGTTTGCAGAGGCTGTAAACCACATGGAATGAGACTGTCTATCTTTGTCCCTTGCAGCAGCTAACAAATTTTCATCTACATGCATTTTAGGTTGGCAGGCAACTTCTTACATTTAAGACACCAGAGCTCAATCTGTACACTCACTCATTTGCCATCAAATTGGAACCAGTTCATAGCTCCGCTTCCTGGGAAGTTTCAGAAAACTGCAAAGGCTTTCACAGAAGATTGTCTATCTTTTTTTATTTTTATTTATATACATTGAATTTATACAATCTTTCATTTCCATTGTGTTTCATACAATCATTCATATAAACTGTACTTTATATAATTAATATTGATCTATGCCTGTTATTACCGTTCTTTTAAAGTCCCCACTGACTCTTATTCCTTTAAGTTCTCTTTATCTATCTACCCACTAAACTCTAACATCCTAAAGTTTTGCATACTTCCCATTTTCTTCCCCCGTCCCTCTTTGCTTTCCCCCTCTAGACATTTTTACACCTCTTACCAGATGTTCTTTTAATTTTATAATAATGGTCATATGCAGAATTTGTCCTTATGAGACTGAATTGTTCCACTCAGGATAATGCTCTCTAGATTCCCCTACATTATGTAGGGTTTTTTTTAAATAATTTTAATGAACATTTGCAGAGATTTTGGATTTCCATTCATTCATTCTGCACAGATTGTCTATCTTTATGTTACAGAGCCATTGGTGAATGTCAGCCATGGAAAGATGCCATCAACATATGTTGTTGTTATGTACCCTCGAGTCACCTGCGACTCATAGCAACCCTGAAGCCTGCCCTATTCTGAGCAAGTCTCACTAACTCTGACACACCAACCCTCATTACTGCAGTTACTTACTGTATCAATCCATCTCATCTGGAGGCTTCCTCTACTGCACTCTCTCCACCCTTCCAAGCATGATCTCTCCTGGCCACATGCTCAAAGTATATATAAGATGTATATGAGATGCCGTTTCAAAATCCTAGCCTCCAAGGAGAACCTTAGTTTCACCATCTCCAAGGTAGAACTATTTGTTTTCTTGGCAGTCCATGGTATGTTCAATACTCTTCTCCAGCACCACAACTTAAAGGCATCGATTCTTCTTCTGTCATTCTTAGTCGTTGTCCAGGTCTCTGATGCATTGGAAGTAATTGCAAAGACCATGGCCTACATCAAGAGCATCTTGATCTCTAGACTGATATAGTTGCTTTTCAGTACTCTGGAGAGGTCATTGACAGCAGATTTTCCCAGAACAATTAGTCTTTTGATATGCTGAGCGCATGAGCCGAGAGTATTGACTGTGGAGCTGAGTAAACTGTACTTAACAACTTCTACCTCTTCTCCATCTATCATCATGATACTTCCAATAGGCCCAGTGGTGAGAATCTTTTGTCTTCTGGATGTTGAGCTTTAATCCATGTTCTTGACTATAGTCCTGATATCATATATATTGCTGTTGTTATGTGCCATCGAGTCACCTGCGACTCATAGCAACCCAATGTCTTATTGTCTCTGACACACCTACTCCCATTACTCCAGTCACTGAATCAATCCATCCCATCTAGGGTCTTTCTTCTTCCTCTCTTATGCTGTCCCTCCACCCTCCCCAGCATGATGTCCCTCTCCAAGGACTGCTTGCTCCTTGCAACATGTCCAAAGTATGTCAGACGACACTTCAGAATCCTTGCCTCCAAGGTGCAGCCTAGTCTCACCCTCTCTAGGACGAACCTGTTTGTTCTCCTAGCAGTCCATGGTATATATTCAACACTCTTCTCCAGCACCACAGCTGAAAGGTATCAATTCTCCTTTTATCTTCCCTAGTCATTGTCCAGTTTTCTGATGTATAGCAAGTAATTGCAAAGACCATGGCCTGGATCAGGTGCACCTGAGTCTCCAGATTGACATCATTGTTTTTCAGCACACAGGAGAGGTTCATGACAACAGACTTTCTGAATGCAAATTGTCTTTTGATTTCCTGGATGCTGGTACCAGGCGTGTGGATTGTGGAGCCAAGCAAACTGAAGGTGTTAACAAACTCAATCTCGTCACATATACCATTCAGTGATATTTTGCTCATCATGTTGTTCAACGATCATCACTGTCCAATTCTAGCTATTTACATTGCCTTTAAAGGAAAATCATTTTCTCCTAGGCAGTAAGTCCACAATTTCTTCTCCCTCCTACCTCTGGTAAGCACTAATAAAGTTTGACCTCCACCATTTTCCAAGGGTACGTTGCTGTTGTAGTCCCTAGGAAGTTGCACTGCTGAGCCAAAGACTGAGCTCCTCTGACTGTTCCAGTCTACCACAGTCTCCTCATGAAAAAGATTGGCCGTCTCCTCACATGTAATTTGTAGCTTCAGACTCTAATAGAGCATCATCCATGACTTGTTGGTGGGTGTTTGGGTTTGTTTTTTTTGTGTGTGTGTGTGTGTTCTGAATTGATAGGGGAGAGAGAGAGAGAGAGAGATATTGATATTTACCTTTAGACATTTCATATAAGTGGGATCGTACAGGATCATGCGTTCTATGTCCTGACTTCATTCACATAGTGGAATGTTTGTAAGTTTCATCCATTTTGTTGCATATAACCAGAACTTGCTTAGCTTTACAGCTCGGTAATGTTCCCA